ACTGCGAGCCACCTAGCACTCCAGAATTGCTGGGAATGTTAAATGAGCCTATGAACAAAAACGGGAGACTGTTTTAGTCTACTTTAAGAAATCACACTGAAGAGAAAAGTTCCTGGTTTACACTGTCCCCAAACTGAGAAAGGGCCTCTGGTGTAATCACAATTTTTTTTTTTTTTTACAACACCCTTGACAGATGATCTTTAAAAATCCCCTAACAGAGAGCTTCCAATCACGTCTGCAGTAACCAAGAGTCCGGGGTCATACAAAAACCACCCCCCCAGACCCTAAAAGATCATTATATTATATCCGATTACACTGGAGTTGTGGATTACAGGAGTAGAGCTGGGCATTTGTGTGCAGTAACAACTTAAAATAAACCCCTTAATTTTTTAAAGAAGAAAGTTATTTAATAGTGCTCAAATTCAATGAATGGCACCGGAGAATGTCACAGCCACAGGAAGCATTTCTGAAATTCACAATGCCCTGCCTCCATAACCGATGTGACTCGGGTTAGGCCAACCACAGTGGCTGGGTCCGGGGTACCTGGAACTCCAGGGTGCACTTGGTGCCCTGAGTGATGTCCTCGTAGAAGCACTGCTTGGCATTGTCGGGCAGCTCAAAGGTGATCTCGGAGGCGCCGCTCGGGCCCGACAGCAGCAGCAGCCCCCACAGCAGCAGAAGCAGCTTGCATCCCCAACGGCCCGCTGCGGCCGCCCAGCGCGGCGACGGCGCCGACCCCGGCATGATCCCGGCAGTGCGGCGGCCTCAACGGAGCTGCGGGGCCTCGACGCGCGCAGCAGGCCCGGCCCCCGCCGGCCCGCGAGCCTCAGCGACGCGTGCGACGGGGAGCGAGCGCGGGCTTCCGAAGAGTCGCGCTGAGGGAACCGGCGCCGATCTGGGAAGAGTCGAGGGACGCGGGGGTACAGCCGGCGGACCAGCGGAGGAAGAGGCCTCGCTGACCGGAAGTACAGCGGGCGCCTCGGCGGAAGGGGCCGGGCCGGGCCCCAGCGACCCGGATGTGATATCCGGGGTGCGGGCGAGGCGTTGGAGTGAGGACGTGGAAGCGCGCGGGGCCTCGGCGTTGCGGGGGCGGCCTCCTTGGGCGAGGGGCGGGGCCGCGCGGGAACTCCACGGAAGGGGCGTGGCCGACCGTTGCCTAGGAGGGGCGCGTGGTCTCGCTGCTCGCCCGGCTGCGGTGGTGAAGGGCTTGCGCTGCGTTTTGTCACCGTGAGTACCGAGTTTGGGGACGCTCCGAGGGACTCCGAAGAGCTCACCGGGGCGGGGGCGGGGAGCGGGGACCCATCGCCGGTGGCGGAGCGCTTTCTGGTTTGCAGGAGGCTCTTATTAATTGTAACAGTGGTGGAGGAGGCAGCTTCGGCAAAGAGCGCATGTTCTCAGAGCTGAACACGAGACTGGGATTTCTAGTCCCTGCTCGTTACCTCCCGGCCCTCTGACCTCTGCCTGGATGCTTAAACCCTCTGCTTTAATCTAAAGAGTGCTGATAAATACGGATTATTGCACGGGTTCATTATCTGGGAAGGGCCTCTAGAGGAGGGGCTGGCACGTGGTGAGCACTAGCCGAGTTTCGGTTTAATAAAAGCACACGTCTGTTGTGTACCCCATTGCAGGGTCCTTCCACCTGAGTAAGTGGTCATGTGTCTCTTGTACTGATTAGGGAGTTGAGGATCCAACACAACAGAATTACAGCCGAAATACTAATTTACCTATGAGCAACATGGCGTTTCTTAATACATTCTACCATGCGTCTGCCAGTCAGGTGGTGGCTTTTTTTTCTTCTTTTTTTTTTTTTTTTAGAAAAAGGCAGGAATGGACTTTATTAGAACGGGGGTTTGTGAGTGAGGGTGGGGTAGGTTATATAAAAGGAGAGGAGACGGAAGTTACTCTATAGCCTGGGGCACCCAGAGCTTCTGCAGTGGCCAAAGGAATGGAGGCCAGAGGTCACAGCCTTAATTTTATCTAGACTGGGGAGAGACTACACCTTCCTGAGAACCAGGCCAGAAACAAATATTATTTTGTTGGCGAGTGAAAGTAAAACTGAATTTGACAGTGAGAACTGTAGGTTCTGTTTTCTGACTCAGGTGGGTGAGGTAAAAGGTAGTGCTCTTTTAAACTAACCTCAGGCCGCAATCCCAGCACTCAGGGAGGCAGAGGCAGGCGGATTTCTGTGAGTTGGAGGCCGGCCTGATCCACGGAGTGAGTTCCAGGACAGCTAGTGATAGACAGAGAAACCCAGTCTCCAAAAAAACCCGAACAAAATAGAAAAAAAGAACTGAGCAGGTAACGTGACTCAGTAGGAGAGCTTGTCCAAGGCTGACTCTTCAGCCCTGCGGGGGTGGGGGTGGAGGGGATATCTACGACACACCCAAACCAGTCTGCCTTCTTTCTTCCTAAGAGGACAGTGCAAATAAATAGGAAAGAAGGAATAAGATTTAAAATCTCAGTACAGTGTGAGGGGTTTGTGAGGGAGGGAGGAAAGGGGAAATGATATAACTATAATCTCAAAAAGTCGTAAAAATCAGCGGAATATCACTTTTAATCTCAATTAAATATTACCAGACAGGCATTTTTTTTTCAATGATAAACATTTTATTTCTGTAAGTGTAGTATAACAAAGGCAATCTTGGTGGCCAAAATAACTAAATAGCAAGGGGAGGGCAAGAAGAGAGGTTAGAAAGAAGGAAGTGTCGGTGTGGCTGCTTCGACAGGCTAGCGATGCTAGACATGGTTGTGCACTGCTAGTAGAAAGGTGAACTGCCACTTTGGGGAAAGCCTAACGTGTAGTAACGCGAAAGATACATGTAGACTATGGAATACATACATGACCTGCAAGTTTCACTTTTCATATTTTTAAAATTGTTTGTTTTGTTTTGTTTTTTGAGGCAGTTCCTCTGTAGCTTTGATGGCAGCCTAAGAACTCTACAGACCAGCCTGGCCTTCAACTCAGAGACCTTCTTGCCTCTGTGTGGGGATTAAAGTGTGCTGGGATTAAAGGTGTGGACCACCCTTGCCCTGCTGGGCTAAGATTTATTAAGTGTACAGTATTCTGTTTGTATGTTTGCCTGTACGCCAGAAGAGGGCAGTGGATCTCATTAGAGATGTTGTGAGCCACCAAGTGGTTGTTGGGAATTGAACGCAGGACCTCTGGAAGAGTAGTCTCTCCAGCGCCACTTTGCATAATTTTATACCATACTGTACAATGTACCTTAGAGTATTTACTGTGGAGCATGATTCTCAGAGTACCTTCTGAAGTCTCCTGGAGGTTTCTGAAGGATCTTTCAGAGGGTTTGCATTTTTTGAGGCTGGATTTTTCATGTGTTTCAATCAATACAGCATAGCAGATTGAAGGAGGTGAGCATTCAGGCTTTTCTATGAGCCTAGATTTATAAAAGTAAAGCAGTGTCTTTCCTTTGATGTAATTATGCCTCATTTTCAAACATACTGTGTGTGATAGGTTGAGTTGTATACCTTCGGACACAATTCCAAGACCTCATTCCCATCCCTGTGGATATCACTTCATTTGGAAGTAAGATTTCTGCAGTTATTGTTAAATTAAGATCCCCAGAAGAGATTATCCTAAATCTCGTGAGCCCTTTTAAAGTGCAGTGATTGGTGACCTGATAGAGAAAAGACGCAGAAGAATGTAAAGACACACAGATAGATTTGAGTGGTGTGTGCACAAACCAGGGAACACCAAAACTTGTCCATAGTCCCGAGAAGCTAGGAGAGAAGCTCTTCAGAGCCTCCAGAGTGAGCCAGTACCTTCACTTCAGCTGTCAGGGAATAAGCTTGTTATTTTTAAGTCACCGAGTTGGTGGTTATTTGTTACACGGTATAAGGGACATGACCATATTTCATGAGTTTAGTAAAAACTTGTCAAATATCTTTCATACTTAAGAAATGTCACATGGACCCAGTACTCAGCACTCATGCAGATGTGGAGGACAGCAGTTGATAATCAAGTGCCTCCTACTGATCTCCGCTTGGGTTTGGGAACACGTTATCCAGGATCTCACAGACTGGGCTAGACAGGCTGGCTAGCAAGCCCAGGGGTCTTCCTGCCTGTCTCTCTAGCTCTGGGGTTGCAGGCAAAGGGCACCCCCTTTGGCTTCTTTATGGGCTCCGCAGGTCTGAACTCAGGTCCTCATGCTTGTGCAGCAGGCACTTAACCCTCTGGGCCATCAGTTAGCCCAGCCCCTTTTCATAATTTCTGTTTCAAGAGCTAGACAGACAGACACAGGACAGATGCTTGGAGTCCATATTCCTAAATTCTGAGAGCTTCTACAGCCTGTAATTTCCCCACAGTAAATTTGAATTTCACAATTTGGTGTGTGAGTGTGACAGCCTATCTGATCCCGAGTAGAGAACAAAGCCACGAGGAAGCCCTGACATTGCTTTGCCAGACAGGGCACGTTTATTTCTAGGAAAAAGCAGAGGGTCAAAACCACTAGTTCCAGAAACTGCTAACCAGGAGCTGAAAATGGCAACTATGGAAGAAATCTCTAAAAGCCAGGAATCCAGTCAATTCCTGGATGGTTAACTCGTCAGGAAGTTTGGTAGACCATATTGCTTGTCTCTAGAAGTTTCTCAACATGGCAGAATTAAAATTTGGTGTTACGAGCATGATATTTTGGGCCAGTAGTTTTTTTTTTAATTATTTTTATTTATTTATTTTTGGATTTTAGAGACAGGGTTTCTCTATAAGGGCCAGTATTTTAAACCCCCAATCAGTGTAGCGAGATGGAAATTGAAGGTAGTGAGAGCCACACTGCATTTGTTTCAGAAAACCTCATTGCCCCAACAGCCTTTGGCCACCAGGTGGTGCTGTTCACTTTCCAGATTACTACACAGGCAAAGGCGCTGCCTTGTTCTGCTTTCCGAGGTTTACAGAAATGCAGCTAAAACATTTGAGCAGAATTCACTCAAAAACACCAGACCCACAAAAGGGAGAGTGGGGGGTGGTTAGGTAATGGAGAAAGAACACTGACAGCTGCTTCTAGAGAGTCATGTTAGGAATGTAAGCCTTTGCCTAGGTGAAGAACCGGCAAATTGAACCACAAAAGGACCTAGTTGGAGTTCTGTTGTTAAAAAGAATGTTGTTCTGGCTGCCATTAGATTAGATTGAGGTGTATAAATAGGGAAGTAAGATTAATCTATGTAAAAAAGTCATTAGCAAAAATGTGACAGTGGTTGACTAGGTGGCTGATGGGAGTGTCTGCTGCTGCAAGGTGACTGGAACGGAGAGGTTCTGAGCCATCTCATCGCAGAGGCGCAGAAAGACTAGCCTGCTGTGACTGAATGAAGGTAGGGATGCTCAGGAGAGCGACAGAAGAGGCTGGGGTGGGGGTGCTTAAAGCAGTCTTTTCAGTGATGATCTGTTTTCTAGGCCCCATGCTCAGTGTAACTCATGGTGCTTTCCTCTTATGTAAGACACTTTCTTCCTTTAGTTACTCCAGTCCTCTAAAGACACCGTTTAACTCCCCTTATATAACTTTCTTGCTCCTGTATTGGCACATAATGAATGCCCAACTATATTAGTTAAAGACATGTTATAGAATGATAAAGTGTAAAATCTTCCCCTTTTGTTTTGATATACATGGTAATGCTATTTTAATCATTGTAAATAATTGACTTTCGTGGCATGCATGCTTTAAATGGTGTATTTACTAGGCTGTTTTGTATCGTATGTGATTGGTTATCTTTTTTTTTTTTGGATTTTCGAGACAGGGTTTCTCCGTAGCTTTTTAGTTCCTGTCCTGGAACTAGCTCTTGTAGACCAGGCTGGCCTCGAACTCATAGACATCCTCCTGCCTCTGCCTCCCAAGTGCTGGGATTAAAGGTGTGCGCCACCACCGCCTGGCTATCTTTTTATTTAAAGTGCCATATGTCTTGGAAAGCAAACCACATTGACAGCCACAGGTAGTTGTAAGTCTGTATTCTAGGTAGGAAGCAGCTGAAAAGTTTATCAGTTCCTGGGCGTAACTGAGGGTTTACACGAGCTGTCCTGTGCATCCAGTAACAGTGGAAAGAATAATAATAAACAATGTCTTTTAGCCTCATATAGGCCCTGGGGTAGGGACAGCCTATGTGAGGGACATTACAGCCCAGAAGAGCCCAGTTAAGAGTGAGTGTCCTTTGGAAGGCCACTGTGTGTGTGTGTGTGTGTGTGTGTGTGTGTGTGTGTGTGTGTGTGTGTGTGTGTGTGTGGAGAGAGAGAGAGAGAGAGAGATAACTATACATTCAGTTCCATTTTGAGGTCTGTTGAAGCAACTTCTGCCTTTCAGAGAGTCACTGTTGGAATGTCCTCTCCGCTGGGCTCAGGGAGCCAGTTCATGCCCATTTGTGTACTCATTCTTCCCCACTTGCCAGCTGAAATGGGCTTTGTGCTTGTTAGACATCCCTTTAAGGTGGAGCCACATCCATTCATTCTTATTCAGCATTTCCCACCTTGCTAAAGACAGCTCATTAAGCATATTTAAGTAGTTCCAGTGTGCTCCCCTCAATCTAATTACAGACAAATACTGTAATTAAATTATTAAACAGGGTTTCTCTGTGTCTCTTTGGCTGCCCTGGAACTCACTCAGTAGACCAGGTCGTCCTTGAACTCAGATCCACCTGCCTCTGCCTCCCAAGTGCTCGGATTAAAGACGTGTTGTGCCACCACACCCAACTTCTCTCCCTTTTTTTTAAGAATGTTATCCTTTTTCTTTTGCGTTCCAAGCCTACATATATTTTTAAACACACACTAAGCCATTTAGAGGTTTTTTCATCTAAACCTAACTTTACTATATATCCTTTTCTGACCACATGAGTTTAATTTGCTAAGCAATGTGGTTAGGATTAAAGCCGAGGCTTTGACTGGGTCCATCCCATTCCTTAGCTTTCTGAGACTCTAGCTTCGTGGTGGAGGTACTGGTGGGAGCCTTGTTTATTGTCAGAACTCTGGAGTTTCAAGGTCATGCCACCACCAAGAAGCCCCAGGAAAGGCAGTCAGGCTGTTTCAGACTTGATACACCAGAAGAGGAAGGCAAGTGGCCCATGGACACAGCCTCTCAACGTTACTGTACTTAATACCAAGTGCAGAGCTGTGGTATCTGAGCATGTTCACAGTTTGCTTCTTCATACCCACCAGGTTCATTTCCAGCAGAGCTGATGAAGAAAGCCAATTTCCCCAACTCACAGTGGGTCTTATTGACTTAACTTACGCTAATTGTATAGCTTGAAAGAAATCTCTCTTTTTTTTTTTAAGATTTATTTATTTATCAAGTATACAACATTCCTTCCCTGTATGTTTTGCATGCCAGAAGAGGGCACCAGATCTCATTACAGATGGCTGTGAGCCACCATATTGTTGCTGGGAATTGAACTCAGGACCTCTGGAAGAGCAGTCAGTGCTCTTAATCTCTGAGCCATCTCTCCAGCCCCCGAAATAAATCTCTTAATGCACGTGCATCTCTTTGTCCAGTAGTTAGGTTCGGCATCTTTCCCTATTGACTGGGCCCTCGTTGCTGCTGTGAACAGTATGATGTCCTTGTTTTCTCAAGTTTGTTTGCTTGGCTCTTCTTGAGCCCTGGAAAAACATGGCTAGGGCTGTCGGTGTCACAATTTGAATAAGACTCTGGTCTCTGTCCCCTAGGTTCCTCCACACTAGTTGGGGATGAACTGCACAAGCATACGGTCTGAGTGCCGAAGGTCGAAGTTAAAACATAGTTCTCCATCAGCTGTCACAGTCCTTCATTTCCAGGTGGAGATGGAAGAAATAAGCCTTCTGCCCCAAGGCACAGACCACTGCAGAGAAGACAGTTCTCATAACAAAGCAGACTCCAGGCTTGTGATATAGGAACAGTGTACAGGGTACAGCAGGTCAGAAACAGTAAGGTTACATTCCTAACATACACAACCTTTGTTAAGTAAAGAGAATATGTAAGAAAATACTATACCATCAGAACATGTTTTTATTCAAGATAGCACAATACCATGAAAAAAAATTCGGAAATGAAAAGACCAAAGTATCATTTCTGTTGTCATTTTCTAACAATGTGATACTAAGAAATTGTTAATAATGTCACAAATAATATAAAACATAACCTCGTATTTGTGGAGCAAATACATATCTTGTATATATGAAAAAGTTTAAATCACTAACTTTAGATCAAATGCATTTTCTACCAAGACTTAAGTTACCTTTGTAGAAATTGACAGATTGATCATATGGATGTGGAAAGACCTCAAACAGTCAAAAAGAAAAAAACCCAAAGAACAAAGTTTAGTGAGTCATACCTCATCATTTTAAAACTTACTGCAGGAATTTACACAGCATGTGGTTCTAGCATTAGGACAGATGTACAAATCCACAGAGAGCCTGGAATTAAAGCCTCGTAGCTACAGACAGTTGTGTCAAGAAACAAATGTCAACAAGAGTGTCAGAATTTCTTGCCCAAATATCTTAAACTTGTACCAGTAACTGTTTTCTCTTTCCCTAAATACAAAGCTGTTGCTTATAGTTCTAGAAAATTGTACTGTTCTTTTGTGTGTGGTTAGTGGTTTCAAGGCAGGGTTTCTCTGTGTAACTTTGGCTATCCTGTAATTTTCTCTGTAGACTAGGTTGTCATCAAACTCAAATCTGCTTGTCTCTGCCTCACGAATGCTGGTATTAAAGGTGTGCACCACCACCACCCCACTGAGCATTGCACTATTCTTTATGGTGTGGTTTGCTATTGCATGTTTATAAATATTCCTTCAAATTACCCAACATGACTGTACCATCTTTTTACCCAGTGAACCCTGGGACTAGCCCCAGAAATCAAAGCAGAGTCTTTGAAACAGACCCTAGACTGTGTTGTGCAATACTTGAGGAATACATAGAGAAATGGGCACTGTTGCTCAACTGTCACTACTGATGACCTGAAATGACAAGGTATTAAGAAATCAAGTAGCTGTGGAGCTTGACTGCTGCAGTGATAATGCTTTTTAAAATAGCGTCTCATGTGGGTTATTTTGATGGCACCCTAGAGAGCGTAAGTGGAGAAAAGGAGACATGAAATAGCCAGACTTCATGAGCAGTCTGGCTCTAAATGTATTATGCATGTAGTTGCAATATAGACAATATCTCTTAGTGCTCTGCATAAGATCTAACTATAGGTTTGCAAGGATTGTCGCACCAGTTAACCCTCAAATGCATGTGGTTACTTATGGTAATGTAAGGACACTTAGGAAAGAAAGGAGTGGGATTCTAAATCAGGACTGAAGGTTTACTTAGTAGAGAGAAATCACACCCAGGTTTCGCTAGTCTCACATGTGCTCCGCCTCAGTTGATTGCTAAAAAGTGGAATAGCCTGTTGATGACACGGTTCTAAGAAAGCATGCTTGGAGGAGGCTGGTTTGTACGTTTGAGTATGTGCCTTAAATGAGTGGCTGAATTAATCTAGTAACAACAAATGTTTGCAAAACTGTACTAGTAATTTAGTAGGACAATAAATTCTTGGCAATCGATAATATACAATTTGTTTTTCAAAAATTGTAAACCATAAAAAAGAAAAAAGAAAAACTTGTTGGGATTAAAAACAAATGACAGAAAACTCACCAATATAATATTGGCGATAAGAAATAAAGTCCCGAGCTTGAAGAGCCAGGGAGAAAATTACTAACTGTAGGTGTTTATTCGCCCTGCTGGTCAGTTGGTAAAGTGCTGGCTGTAGAAGCATAAGGACTTAGACTTGCTCCCCAGCACTCTGGGCTTACTCGACCAGCGTGCCTAGCACTGGAGATCCCTGGGGCTTGCTCACCACTAGCTGAATCCGGGAGCTCCAGGTTCAGTGAGAGATCCTGCTTCAAAAAACAAGGTGGAGGGGCTGGAGAGATGGCTCAGTCGGTAATAACCTAGCTGCTCTTCCAGAGGTCATGAGTTCAATTCCCAGCAACCACCTGGTGGCTCACAACCATCTGTAATGAGATCTGGCGTCCTCTTCTGGCATGTGGGCACACATGGAGGCAGAATGTTGTACACATAATAAATAAATAAATCTTTAAAAAGAAATTCTGTATTAAAAAAAAAAAAACAAGATGGAGAGTGATTGAGGAAGACATCCGGTGGTGACTCTGGCCTCCACATGAACATGTTCGTGTGTACATGTGTCAGCTACACACACAGACACGATTATATGTACACAAAACAAACACAAACGTAGTTCAAATTTGAAACAAAAACTTAAATTTATCAAAAGTACAATATTTGAATTTTTTAGTAACTAAACAGTCTTTCTGTCAAGAATATCTTTTCTGAGTGTTTTATCAGGAACATAGATGGACATGCTTGTGTTGTTATACAATGCCAGAATTTATTGAATACAATAATTCATAAAACCACATTAATTTTATTTGATTTAAGAAAGCCAGATTTGCTTGCTAGCTGATCACTGACAATTACAGGGTTTTTTATTTCAACCTTAATTACTGATATTAACTCCCAGATCACACATTGCACATCACTGTATGGTGGGTTGCAGAGTCTTCCTTAAGAAGGGGTCAAAGAGGCTGCCTGTGTTCGGATTGTAGAGGGGCTGTTCTGAAGGCAGACAGCTACTGGAGGGACAGGGGCAGGCCTGTAGGGCACTAGACCACAGCGTGCAAAGACGTCATGCTGCTACATTCTGCCTCTGGGTGCACCTTCTGGTACAGTCTCCAGTGAGGAGGGTACCTTTTGTGTGCTTGGTAAGCTCATGTGTCTTGTAATTTGATGGGTTTCACTGTTTATAGGCAGAAAATACCAGTCTGTGTCTCCTGATGTGCTAGCAGATGATGGTATTTACTCGTGTAAACAAGATGTGGAGCCATTCTTTCTTGGCACTTACACTGAAAATGGAGTAGCTCAGGTCAGGGCTGTTGCTTCATTAGATAGAGCAAGCCATGGCTGGGCAGAGGTTAGAAGTCAATATTCCAAACAACAAGGTGCAACCCAGAGCTGACCCAGCCTGTTCTCCATGGTGACTTAATATTTACAGGTAACTTTTACTAAAAATATTTTTGTTTTTGCAGCTAGCAGAAGCCAGGACTCTGGAACACTTTCTGCTGCCTGTGGATTTTCTGAACTGACAGTTTACCAGAAAGCTCCAGCCACTGCACAGTTTCTTCCAATCTACCACTGTTAGACACTTCCTGCCCTCCATCCTTTCCTCTTGGAGAGGAGTAGCAGGCAACGTCAGTAAAGAGTCTCTCACCTCGACTGTTGTGGTTGCCCTTATCATCATGCCGAAGAATAAAGGCAAAGGAGGCAAAAACAGGCGCAGAGGTAAAAATGAAAATGAATCTGAAAAAAGAGAGTTGGTGTTTAAAGAAGATGGGCAAGAGTATGCCCAGGTGATCAAAATGCTGGGAAACGGACGGTTGGAAGCAATGTGTTTCGACGGTGTAAGGAGGCTGTGCCACATCAGAGGAAAGCTGAGAAAAAAGGTTTGGATAAATACCTCAGACATTATATTGATTGGTCTGCGAGACTATCAAGATAACAAAGCTGATGTGATCTTGAAGTATAATGCAGATGAAGCAAGAAGTCTGAAGGCATATGGAGAACTTCCAGAACATGCGAAAATCAATGAAACAGACACATTTGGTCCTGGGGATGATGATGAAATCCAGTTTGATGATATTGGAGATGATGATGAAGACATTGATGATATCTAAGCTAACCTAAGCATGCTACATCCCAAGTTTTCTGAAGATTGTTTTGCATACTTGGGATCTTGACCTTCAGCTGTTAAGTAAAACTTCTTTTAGCATGAGTATGACTTGTTAAAGCAGATTGATGTATTTTTATTTTTTGAAGTATTATATTTCTTTGAAAACCAAAGATGTTATCGTAAGTGACATGTTAACCCTTTGTTCTTATAGATGTAACTGAACTTAGGGGTAGAGCAGTGTGCACTGTTGGGACCGCCTTTCCATTGGGACGCTTCATTTCTGGCACGTGGGTGCTTTGTGTCAGCACTTCTGCCTGAAGCATCCTGGGCTGAAAATGCCCCAGTTCCAGCACATCTGCTTCAGGCGCTTATGCCTTGAGACTGGAGTCAGATTTCGACATTTGTAGTCAGAATGCAGCTGTTTCTCTACTTATGGAGCCATGCCATTTATACTTTTCATATTCTGTACATTTTAGCCTTTGTGTTGTTGCCACCCATAAATAGGCATTTCGGAGTGCCGTTTATAAATTACATCAGTAGCAATTTTGAGTTTTAAAAATTAGTCATTGCAGAAATTAAACACTTAGGTGATAATCATCTTGACTTTAGAAATACAGTAGTTGACAATGTTTATATATAATTTTTACTTTCCTAAGGCATACGCAAGAATTGAAAATAAAAAGTGAAATAAATATGTTCTGATACGTGCATAGAGAAGGTGGTTGTTAATAGTACATAAACCATTTTTTTTACTTTGCAAAGTAGGTTGTGTAAAAAGTCATTTCCAAAAGTTAGCTACTGTATTAAGGCTTTGAATAATTTAATTGCTGTGTATGGATTGAAATTAATTACATAATTGTATAAATAAAGTCTTCCTTAACCTAAGCATAGGTTAAAGGGAGAGGAGCCACAGCTTAATGCAAAGGCAGTCCCTGTTTCCTGAACGGCAGAGTCCAGAAGAGAAGCCCAGTGAAATATGTTGGCATAAAAATACTTTTTCCTTTTGATATGTTCATTATCTCTCTGGTATGTAACAAAAATAAATGACTGGATGATTTTTAGTTCATCATGCGAGAGGCTTTTTCTTTAGACTCTGGTGCTTAAGAGATGAACTTGCTGTTTGCTCATTTCAGTGATGCTGGTGTCGGTCTGCAGTTTCACCTGTGCTGAAGTGAGTATAAACCTTGTCTGTCAGCCCTTGATGCCTTCTCCCTAAAGAGTTGCTTTCTCAGGCTTTGTTCCAGGCACCTTTAAATGGTGACTGGACATGAAAATAACAGTATTCACCCTTTTCTTTTTTCCCAACTAGCCCATAATAATGTAGCTTATGAAAATTCCACAATCAGAAAGAAAGAAAAGCAAATTCAATTTTCCTGGTCGTTGATGGGTGGACTTTTTTAGATGGGTATGCAGTTCCTTGTAAAGGCTAATTTTGCCAAATGAAGCTGGACGTGGTGCTGGACTGGCATTGTCTTTCTCCCCAGAAGGACAATGTGTCTTCTGGAAAGAGAACATGTTGCTGGAGCTTGTTCTACGCAGCATACCTAACTTATACTGTTAGCTGACATTTGTCCCATTACCACTGTAAATTGTTAATACAGAAGAAGCGTGATCATGGGCCAGCTAGCCTGGTGTTTTCTTTCAGCAGCAAACAAGAGACCGTTCCTGTAGATCACCAATCAGTCAGATCTTCTAGCTTCAGGGTTTCTCACCTTCTGTGCCAGTACTGACCACAAAAACAGTTTTGTAGATCATATCCTAGGATGTGTTATGATAGCTATCATTATTTATTCCAGGTTAGCCTTGAAATGGCCATGCCCCTGCCTTCGTGCCACCCTGCCCTATTTAAAACTGATTTTCTAATAAGAGCTTATACATGAACACTGCCCTTAGCCAGCAAATTTTTATTCTTGTGTTACATTTTGCTCCTAATCCGCCCTTCAATTTTACCCATATCCATTTGGAAGAAGTACCCAGTTTTCTTCCTCCCCTTAGATGGTACATTGCTGTTTCTGTGCCGTCACTCCAAACACCAAGAGCTATTTCTCTGCACTTCGAGGTTTTTTTTTCCCCTTTTCCCACCATCCAACCTAGAGATCTTTACTCCTTAACCTCTTTCCCCATGATTTGCTTTTTGTTGGTTTATCCTTAGTGGATATTTAATCAGCATTTATTATATATCTCCACATTCTGTGCACCTTAAGATAAAGACTGACCCTGGAAAGATGACAGGTGGTTCAGCATCCTCTTACTAAATCCTGCATGCCAGTCACAGGTGTTTTTTTTTTTTTCAAGGCAAAAATCTACATCACCTGGGCCAAGTTGAAGCCGCACCCCAAAGGCCCGAGAGTCATTCGCAGGTGCCTTGTCTTCAGAAGAGCCAAGGCTCTTCCCCTGCAGCTGGGGTGCTTTTTCTAAACAGTTGTGAGAAGAGTACTTGACAATAAGAAACAAGAACGATGGAGCATAGTTGGAACGGGGCAGGAGGTAGAAACTCTGAGACTGGGGAGTGGGGGGAGAGACACGAGTGAAGGACACTTAGAAGCTTCTTCAGCGGTGTTTGCGTCACTTGGTATCACTCCTGACATCTCACAAGTCTTCACAAGACTGGGGATTTTCACCTCTGCACTGCCTGAAGGTCTCATCACAGGAAGAAAGCAGTCACAACTGAATGTGAGCCCCTGCATACAACGCCAGACTGAGGCTGTCTTAGGGGTTCAGTTGCTGTGAGGAAACACCATGACCAAAAGCAAGTTGGGGAGAAGGGTTTGCTTGGCTTACACTTCCACATGCTAGTCTATCCGTTGAAGGAAGTGAAGTTAGGACAGGAACTCAAACTGGGCTGGAACCTGGAAGCAGGAGCAAACATGGAGGGGTGTGACTTGCTCAGCCTGCTTTTTTACAGAACCCAGGACCACTAGCCCAGAGGTAGCTGCACCCTAGGTGAGCTGAGCCTTCCCCCATGAATCATTAAAATGCCCTACAGGTAGGTCTTATGGAGTCATTTTCTCAGCAGAGGGTCCATCCTTTCAGACAACTAGCTTGTGTCAAGTTGACGTAAAGCTAGTCAGCACAGGGTTTAGGTTGATTTGCCATGCCTCATAAGGACTAAAGGTCCTTGACAGTGCTGTACACAGGCAATCAACTGCTGGACAACAGGTGGCTCTTAGCACTTAAAATAAGACTTGCCAAGCATGAACAGCACGCGAGGAGCCTTTGAAGCAGGGGGTCCTTTTATCCCTATGGGTCTCTAATGTATAATTTCGCAGCCGTATTTTCCTAAGTAAATACTGAAGGGTTCCTAAATTGAGTAATCATAATCTAAAATTAGCCACTTGCCAGAGTTAACTGGGGAGCCTTACACAGGCGTCTAGCTGCTGCTGAATGCTACAAAATCCCCAAAGTGCCATGCGCAGAAAGACCAGAGCTTCCATCATTCTCGGGCAGGCAAAACTGCTGTCTGCATCATCAACATCTGCCTGGGGTCGTGGTCTCAGCTGCTGCCGTTCTTCAGATGGTCACTATGATGTCACTTTTATAGTTTGTGCTTGTGGTCTGTAGAATTGCCACATTGCTACTGTTTTTCTTCAGGCTCTCTCTAGTTTGTTAGCACCGATTTCCTCCCTCCTGTGGAGATGGAAACAGCTTGGTGAGTTAGGTTTCCCTTCCAGAGGTTCAGCAATTGAACACTAGTAACTGCGGGCATTCAGGTAATGCGTGTGTTAACTTCTGCAGTGTGTCCTCCACATAGCCCTGGGGACGCTGGAATGGGAAGGCTGTGTTCAGTGACTCTGGAAAAGTTGACAGCCTCTGCCAGTGCCCAGTGCACCTTTCTTGTGCTCTCTAGGGCTAGCAGGTGATGGCCACTAACTCGTTCTTAGCTTCAGCCATTTGAGTCTTCTTCCTCTTCCTCATCCTTCTCCCTTCTTCCATCTTCCTCCTCCATCTCCATTTTTATTTATTTATTTTAGTCAGCTAAAAAGTTGGCGATTCTTGTGAATCTTTTCAAAGAACCAGCTTTTAGACTTGCTGGTTTTTATTCTCAGCTTCATGTCTTTGCGCTGTTACCTTTACTGTTTCTCCTGCTGCACGCGTAGTTTTCTCTTACAGGCCTTAAAGGACTCCACTAACAGGAGGTGGTTTGGGGCGTGGCCACCGCCGCCAGGCAAGATTTCATTCTTTACGCAGGCATTTACAGCTATAAATTCCCCTTAAAGGATTACTGTGGCGGCCGTCTACAAGTTTGGGTGTGTTCTATCTTCCTTAGGTGAGCCCAGGGCACTCCCTGTGCTCTGCTCCTCCCCGGTGTCCCTGACCCTGCTCTCTTTTGTCACTACTGTGACAACGGGCACTTACAATCCCTGCTAGAGCTGGGCGGTGGTGGCGCACGCCTTTAATCCCAGCACTCGGGAGGCAGAGGCAGGCAGATCTCTGGGAGTTCGAGACCAGCCTGGTCTACAAGAGCTAGTTCCAGGACAGGCTCCAAAACCACAGAGAAACCCTGCCTCAAAAAACAAACAAACAAACAAACAAATCCATGCTAGATCAAGAACATGGCCGAGCACCAGAGTGAATGCCCATACTGGGCAGGGAGAAACTAAAGTCGGAATCTTTGTTTAAAGGCATCACTGTATACCAAGCTGACAATTAAACCAGAATAGAATGGGGAGCGATTGTTCCAGACACTGGACATGAGCTGCTGATCAAGACAGATAAAAAGACCCAGCACTCCTGAGTTACGGGCAGATAAAAGTGCTACAAACAGATGGAACGTTTTAAATTATGCAATTGTCATGCGTACAAAGCATGGGAAAAAACCCACAATATTTTTATCACTCAGCCCAACAATGATTGACACATGGCCAAACTCATTTAGTCTGTAGCTCCCGTACTTCAGAACTGCTTGAAAACACAGTAAATGCTTTGACTCTTGCTTGCAGAAGTCCCTCTTCTGATTGTTAGTTAAAACAAAGCAAAACAAAAACCTAAAGCAGAGCCCTCAATTTTCCCAGCCTTGGCATGGTGAGAAGAGCTTTTGTTCTCAGTAGGCTAGCCTCCCGTGAAGAGCCTGGGGTGGCCAGTGCTCGCTCACCAGCCCTGGACAGAGCCTCTGTAACCATCTGAGCGGACCGGACAGTGCTCTGTTGTTAGCGCACTGCACCAATCACCAGCCACAACGTGATTCTGGTTCTCGGAAATGAATGTTGAAGAAAACTCTTTCCAGACGCATACACATGTATGTGTGACATGTACACAGAGCCTCGTGTTCCATCCACCGTGGTGAGCGTGTCCTTTGTTTAAACGGGAAGGATTTCGGTGTGACTGCAGACTGTCACTGTTTTCTCCTCTGTTAGCCACCCGTGCCCAGTTACTCCCCCTGGACACACGGTTCCCATCTCAGCGTTTGCACTGGCTAGCAGGT